CTTCACAGTTAGAGTGGCCAAGGTCTGGAACGGGCTCCCAAAGGAGGTGGTGCTCTCCCCTACCCTGGGGGACTTCAAGAGGAGGTTAGATGAGTATCTAGCTGGGGTCAACTAGACCCAGCACTCTTTCCTGCCTATGCAGGGGGTCGGACTCGATGATCTATTGAGGTCCCTTCCGACCCTAACATCTATGAATCCCTGAGAATTCCGTTTCATAGATTTCATAGACATTAGGGCTGGAAGGGATCATCCGGTCCAGCCCCCTGCTCAAAGGACAGGAAGTTAGCTGGGATCAGATACGTTCCACTAATCAGATCTCATTTGCATGGAGTAGGCCAAATGAAAATAGCCATTGGATTTCAGGACATTACAACTGTCCAGAAGACAGAAAATAGGAGAATCTGGCTCTTGTTACCAAACTTGATATATATTCATTTAAAGGTGTCAATTTTGTTTGCTTGTAAGATAACATCTACATTTGTGTAGTAGGACTGGAGAGGTTTTAGTTCCTCTCTGATCAGGTTCCCAGAATTGACTGATCATTGTCAAATATAAATTACTTTCTGGGGAGGTAGGATTCTATAAATGTTGGTATGCCACTGTTTCAGGCATTTGCGAGTATTCTTGGTTCCCCCTCTCTACCATAATAATGAACATCTGTGCTAAGTCTCAGTGCAACCCCACTGCTTGCCTTTCTTTCTGTTGTGCATGTTCTAACCTAACAACACACTGCTCCTTCACCTGCAGCTGTATGCTTAATTAATGGCTGCAGGCTTCATGGTCATAATTTCAGTTTGATATGATCTCAGGTGAAACATGATACGCAAGCAAGTGAGATCAGAAAACAAGTAATTTTCAGGAGTATTAAAGGATTAATGAAAAGAAATACCCCCCAAACAATGTTACTTTTTATCTGAAAGCCCATTGATAGAGTGAGTTGCCAAAAGGAGAGAAAAGAGTTCTGGGTGAAGCCTAATGTGCATAGGGAAAGTCAACTCCCTGCTCTGAATTTATCCCCAAGATGCTTTTTAGGCACCAAAATCATCAGCTTACCTCAAAGAAGCCAAGATTGGAATCAGCCAGAGAGAGTTGGAACCTGAAAGAAAAGACATAAAAGATGAATCAATAGAAAAAATGAAAGCACATATTTCTAGACTGAGGATCAGTAACCAACAGGTGCAGGCTGGATCTGGCCTGTAAAGAAATTGGATCTGGCCTACAAATCTGGAGCTTTGGTGGCAGGTGTTTTCCCTGCGCTGCTGTGGGGAGAAGCACAGGCAATGGGTGGTCCACCCACCTCTGACCCAAGATGGGTCATTTGGGCCCTCAGCTAGAAAAGGCTGCCTATCACCATTCTAGACATACACGGTGCCTGTACACATGCTGTGAAGCTGCTCTGACGCACTTGACCAAAAGGAGAGATTAACTGAGTCTGCTGGAGTGTGGTGATTATCACACTCCAGCCAGCTTCCATATCTTGTGTATCAGTGTTCCCATGCTTCAAAATGGCAGCAGGAGTGTTTTAACTGAAGCTCATTGAACAAGATTTAGTTCAAATGCCCCCACCACCATTTCGAAGTGCAGGTACACTGATACATGAGTCTCTGTGGCACTCTAATTAGAGCACCCTCCCTACCCCCAGAGCATGTGTAAAAGTGCCCATATGGTCTTCTTTTCAGGGCTTCGAGCCAGGTGATAATCCCTTGAAGAGATACTTCTATCATCATGTGCTCTATGCAGTCCATGCTGCCTCTCACATGAAAGAGCAGAAGTGGTTTTCCTAGGGCAATGCCTGGAATGTGCACAGGAAGGCAGCCTGAGAGGTGGTTATCCAGGGGCACAGTGTCAAACAGTTTCTTAGAATGCTCTTTACCCTGCTCCCTAAAGAAACAGACAGAACAAAGCAAAACATGGAGCTCCAGTGGTCCCAGCTGTCATCATTTTTCATCTGCACAATTTGGGCAATGTAGCCAATGGTATCTCATTGCCTCTGCTTACATGAAGAAGAAGGTAAACTTCATGGTGTGTCCTTTCCTCATACAGGACTAACTGCCCTGCTGGTATTAAAAAGTCCTGTTGGGTCTAATGTTGGTCTTATATTGATTTTCAAACAGCCTCAGGTCAGGGTGTTGTGTGTTACCTGTTCAGACATAATGAGCCGATTAGCTTCTGATCAAATAAAGTCAGATTGATGCTGCTATTGGTTGTCTGCAGGAGAGAAAAGCCTGAGGTTACCATATGCCAAGAATGGAATCCTCCCAGACACAAATACCATCTCTTTATATAATTTAAAATGCGCAAGCTCCATATCTCTTTAGCTAAGTTTTAAAGTTGTCTCATACAGATGATGCATTCTTCCTGAGTAATGCACAGTACAGCCTTAATTAGCTGAATGTCACCAGCAGTATTTGAAGTATGGATAACAGAAATTTCATTAATCAAATACATTTTCAATGGTAAGAACAGATTTGAGAGGACCCGACCCATTTCTGTATAACAAGACATTCTGGAGCACTAAGCTTTAGGCAATCAAAGCCAATTAAAACATTTCTCTTCCCCATCAGATTGCCCAGTAGGGCAGATTGGGCCACTGGACATGTATGGTCAACGCCTGACAAAACTGAATGGAATTTTCTTGTTTATGGGCAGGGTTTGGTTGTTTTTTTTAGTGCCTTCAAACCCTTTGGTATCTGGCAGTGTGGAAAAAGCCCCCAGATTGAATATAATTCTGTGATCCAGGCACTTACTATGTTTACTGTAAACAGGGATTGGGTGGTTGCATCTGGCAGGACAGCCAGAACCTCCACGGAGCCATGGATCTCAATAGTAAAGGCATCTGTCTGTAAACTGATCACAGGTGTTTTGGTAGCCGTTAGGTTCAACATCACCGGCTGTGATTCTGCGTAATACTGGGCAACCTGTAAAGTTGCAAGGCAAAGAAAAAAAAGAGCCAGAAAGGTGCTTTTATATAGAACATATCTTAGTAAAAAACTTTGCCATTCTCTGAAGGTGCAACATTGAGGCAGTTTCTGATGATTGAGCTTTAGATCACATACTAACACATTAGTGCGTCTTTAAGGCAATGGGGAATAGAAATGACTCTTGCAATTATAAATTAATGAGCTTTGCCATATCAGAAATGTGGAGGAAAGTCCTCTCCATTCCTGGAAGCTCCATTCCCATCAAAACCAGATCACCTTTAAAGGGGATACATTCTGGCTTGTAACCATACAAGAGAGAAAGGAATCATGAATATGGCATTCAAACAAGACTGCAAGCCCGTCTGTGAGCCTCTGTGGGGATGACACTTGGCAGATAGATTAATAAGGTGATGAGATATTTGTCTTGAGAGCTTGATTATTTGGTATATGATGGTAGAAACTACTGCCATCTTGGATAAGACAGGGACATTCAACACCAGGAGCACCGTGACTGATCAGAATCATTCTCTGTGTTTGTTGTTCAAGACGTGGAATCTTGTAGGACCATATTCCAACCATCAGAATATTTTTCCAGACCAGCAGGAGCCCTATGTGCCCACCTGATCTATCCCTCTCCCTCAGTTAATCTAAATGAGACTGCACCCAGCTCCCTTGTCCTTTTGTAGATCCCTTGCAAGTGTTAGAAAATGTTTCCTTCCTCACACAGGCAGAAAGTCATGTTTCCTGCCCACTTATTAGCTGTGTTTCCCTGCTTTAAGCCACTCTATAAATGTTCATTACTAATTCTTCATCACCATCCTCCTCAGAGACGGATGAAGCCTTTCTCTGGTTAGTCACAAGGCAGCAGTGAAGTGAAGCTAGTCAGCCACATGAGGGCCAAGACAGAACTCACCCAAGGAAAGAGTTAACTGGGACTTGTCTCTTAGCAGCTGCAAATCATCTCACTTCTCCGTCATGGTGACTCCCACTGGTTTCATCAAACCCTCGGAACTCAGTCAGTACTCAGGTACCCCCCATATTGAGACTAAGCACTGTGCTTTCTTAAAGGTACATAAGAATAAAGATACCCACCTCAGGAATGATACTGCCAAATGTCTCTGTAGTTATATTAAAATAACTGCAAACCTGCAAAAAAAAAAAAAAAAAAAAAAAAGAGAGAGAGACATGAGCTTGTTTTGTGTAATCTTCACATCCAGGATTTCTTTAAACATGTACTTTTCTGCCATTTTATTATATTCTGATTTAGTGCTTTTTATCCTTGGAGTCCCTGTGCATTCAGCTAATTCCCACTAATGTTTAAAAAGCAGTTATTGGAAAAGTGAAATTTAAAGGTTCCACAGAAATACAGGTTCAATATTCTCCTTTGTAGTCTGGCCCCTGCTGGGATACTTGGAATTATTGGAAACAGGACAGGAAACTCTGCTAGAGTTTCCAGCTACAGGCAGAGATGCTGTACTTTGTGGTATTGTCTGTTCAATAGCACCAGTTTTAGGGGTCCCCTTTTTAAGTCAACAAATACCTCTCAAAAAACTGCCAGTGAGGCAGCAGATTCTTCACCATGAGTCGCCTTATTTTTGAAAGAGTATCTGGGTCAGATCGGTGACATTTGTCATGTTTTTGGGTAAGTTGCTCCCATTTTGTACCTTGCTCAGTGGAACTCTTCACCTCAAATACAGCTGGAGAAACCCAAGTATTGTATGATGGGGCAACATATAATTAGCATAATGGACTACCCTCATAGAACTATATGGCTGAGTTAATAATGAGTCTGCAGCTCTACTGCTAACTGGTCAGTTCTCTGGCAAAAGTTCAGAGAACTGTCCTGGATCTCTGAATGTCTTGCATCTGGAACACCTTTAATTGTACTCACCTCATCCGTGACGATGATGTTAAAAGCCCCAGTTGTGTAATATGCAAATACAGTGGTCTGAAAAGAATACTTTGATACTGCAAGGTAGAGCATGGAGTCACTGCTGTCTTGGAGAGCAAAGGGAACTGGCACATAGGGGTGGGCAGGATAGTTTCCAACTGGATAGGTTGTGCCCTGCAAAGTATTGTCATTTATGAAACCAGCATCTCTCAGAATCTTTGGGTGCACTTACAGCCTTCACCATAAAAATGTCCCTTTCTCCCTCTTTTCTGGCTCACGGAAGAAACTCAACCTGCCTATGAAGAGTCTGAATAAGCAGACAGGCCTTGCTTAAGGCCAGAAAGTTTCCTCTCTTTTGAACCAATGGTGGAAACCAATTCCAGAACAGAGAACAGTCCACAGAGAACACCCACAGCTACCCAAATGCTGAGCACCCACTGAAGTCACTGAGGGCTGTCTAACGTTCAGCACTTCAGGAAACAGGGTTCTTATGTAAGGGTCTAAGTATTTATTAAAGAGGCTGGCTTTAGGCTTTTGCTAATTATTATTACAAACCTTGACCCTTGCTTTCATTCACAGGAATTCAAAATAAGAACCTTTGTCAAGAGCCACCCAGTGACCTCAACTGCAAGGATGGTGCATAAGGTAAGAAATGGTCTCCAAGGCCACGTTAGTACTTCACATTTACTGTGCCTGGCAGCACTGCCCTCAAGCATGCCTGTATATTATCTCCCAGCCTGGAAGCAGTGCAGCTATGTCTGTATGGCACCGAGGGCGAGATGACTGGCACTGACTCTCAGCAGGGCTAGCTAGTATCTTCCCTTGGCACTATGGGCAAAGGCCAGGATACCATGCCTCTGGTCTAAGGGAAGCATGTATAGGGTTGCGAGGGATACCTGAGGGCAGTGCTGTCAAGCATGGTAAGTGTGCAATCTTGACATGATCCAAGACAAAGCTCCAGAGAGCTTTACAGATCAAAATCAACACCTGAATTCTATCCAGAAATAAACTGGTTGCCAGTGCAGGCCCAGGGGCACAGACAGTCAGTCTAGAAAGGAAAAGTACTCTAGGAAATACCACATACGTTTGAATTAACTATTGCTCTGATTACATTAGCCAGGGACAAAACTGTAAAGGTTTGAAACTTTGAAACTGTCAATACTTCTGAAACTTGGAAATGAGAACATTTAAGACAAAGATCCAGGTGAACATTTTAAAAATCAAAACAAAACTGATTTTAAAAATTGTAAAATATTTAGGAGTTTATAAAGCCCCCTCCATGCCTCTACTGGCTCCCCTTTCTCTATCACATCAGTGATACCCTCATTCTCAAAGATCTTCATAGGCCATCCCCACTTATTTCTCTTTCATTCACTTCCTGCTTCTGATCAACCTATGATGTCACCCTCTACTACACACTTACTAAATATTCAAATAGATGCTTTTTGATTTCTCTCATACTTACACTTGGGAGGAGCTTCTCATAAAAGTCTAGAAAGTGATCACATTATCCACCTTCAAACCCCTCCTTACAATTCTCCAGGATGCCTTGTATGTTAAGACCACTGCTCCTGAGACAGACCATTAGTGTCTCTCTATTTCCTTGTCTGTCTGTAGCCACTTGTTGTCTTTTATCTAACATTCAGACTGTAAAGTCATTGTTGGGGCGGGGGCCAGGGCCAGGGCCATAAATTTCTGTGGGATCTGGTTCATGGCTAGGGCTCCAAGGTGGGAAGAGGATGATGATGATGATGATAACAACATATACCCACAAGTAAATTGCTTTAATACTTCACACGGTATGAAAATGAAATCTTAATCAACACAACAGCCAGGGAAGGTGGGCCTCCCCTTAGGTTTCCTTTAGTTGAAGGAAACTCCCAGGGTCTCTAGTCTCAGTAGCATTCTCCAGACTTCTCTCTCGCTCTCACTGCAGTCTGGGTCTGTTGCTTAATCTTTACCTCATAAGTGTGGTCTCTCACATATTCTGTTACTCTTTTACTCTGATGGCCTGAGCATTCAGCCAGCTGTGTGCATATAACTCCTGTTGAAATCAACTGACAGGTGGACAAGTCCCATGCTTCCCTCTTTTCTACTCTTTTTATGGCTCCCAACTCGCTGCAACTAGTAACTAATGCTTTTTATAGCCAGGCCTGGTTTCTACAATAGAATGTGACCCCATGAGATACTGATTTGATGCGTCTCAGATTCATTTTTAATACTGAAGCAAAAGCAACCATACCAATCTAGGGGAGGATCAGAAGTGTATCAACAATTGTTTTAGGTACTTACTGTTAAAAGGCAATTACCTGCAAGTCCAAGTCAATGTATGATTGGAAAACTGCTGGAGATTTCACCAGGGAGTAGTCTATTTGGGCAAAGTCATCAATCTGCATTAGGACTGAAAAGGCATTGGGCAAAACAAAACAGGCATTATTAGTGATGTGCACTGTTGCCAGCTGTGTTTAATTAAAAACAGGTCAGTTCTTGGAAAGAAAAAAACCCAGTTGGTCAATAGGAGGAGGAAATAGAGAACTCAAGGTGCTTCCTTTGCAAACACTGCTAATCAAAACTGATTGAGGTCTAAAGTTCCTAGTGTTTTCCCTAGCACTGAAGTTGCACTCTTGTGGGAAGCTGTATTTGGTCTCAAACTAGGAAATGTATGTACCTGTACTTATGAAAGGAAGCAGCTGTTACTATTTCCTGAAGTTAGCAATCAGTTCTGGGTGCATCCCAGGACTGTGGTACTTCTCATTGACTGCAATTAACCTGCTCAGTCATCTCTCTAAATCTCACTAGGCATTTCTGTATCTCAGTACTTTTGAAACTCTGACCTGAAGTGCTTACTCTGATGCATTGTTTTCCACTGAGTTTTCTCCTTTGTGTTTTGCGCTTCCTGTAAGTAAAGAAGTGAAAGACAAAATTCTCAGAAAGGCCAAGCTGAGCGAATTCTCTCTGCAGAGTGCACAGGTGGGCACATGGTGAATGAGCAGGATTGAAAGGGGAGGGAAATTCTGCATTAGCCGGAAGGGAATCTTGCATTAGACAGCTGCTGTCTGGCTCCCCAATTACTCTTAGCTAGCAGCATCAGACAGGCCAGGAAAAGGTGTGCATAGCTAAATATGCCTCATCTGCATGTTCTGCATATCTTCTTAGACATGCACTTTTCTCATCTAAGCATCATTTCTTTGCTAACTTGTGTTCTGTGATTGAGGGACCAGAGGGGATGTAAGACTGGCTAACTATGAGGATTACTTTATGCACTTTGTCAAGCAGCATATGGGCAGCAAGAGACAGGAAATGTAAAGAAAAGGCAGCATCAGAAACTCACTCTGCAGTATTCGGAGCTCCATATCGATTATTTCAATCTCCTGCCTGAGGTTTGGACATGACTGTAGAAAAATATGCAGACATTATGTACTGGCTAGTATGGGTTTATGCCCTTCACTCTTTGGCAGATGGTAAGTCAGATCTGCTTGCCTGACATGGATTTTGCCTGCACTTCAATTGACACTGGGATTGCTGCATGTGTAGACATACTAAGTTTGCTTTAACTTGGTGAAACCAATAATAGTATAGCCATGGCACCACATACTTCAGCTACTGGAGGAGTATACAAGGCCCCTGGCAGGCTTGAAACAGGATGCACTGATGCCTGCATGACTCTGGGTCCACTGCTATCTGAGCTAGACAGATTAAAAATAACTTATATATCTATACATGCTGCAATAATATCTCCGATTGCACTGTAGACGTCTTGCACTCCTCTCACTGTCTAGCAGCAGTCCCACAAACAGCATAGCCTAAATTTTAATTCTTTCAGCAGCCAGAGCCAATTCCCTTGTCTCAGGTGGAACCGACTCATGTTTATGATATAAGTTCCTGTGCTATGTCCCTCCTGTGGCATGTTTGCAATTGTATAGCTGACAGTCCCCATGCCTTTAGGTACATAGCCACAGATTTGTTCAGTAAGAGAATGAAAAATAACCAGTCATCATACAAACTCCAGCACCAAGTTTTAACCTCTTTTACAGTCCCTTCATGGAGCTCAGCCACAGGGAGGTGGTAGCCTCATATCAATCAATGTCACTATTGTCACTTTGGATTATAGACTTCATTGGAAGTTGGTCCTTGGAGAATGAGTGATAATGGTGTTGATCAGACCAGAATCAGGCAGTGTGATATGGTTACTCCTTAACCAAGTTCAAAGTTGCGACTTTAGAGATGATGCAGTTTTAGATATCCTTTACACCTACCCTTAAGCAACTGCAAAGACTTACATTACTATCCAAGATCCTGTGGATGGACTTCTTGAGGAATTTAGTAAACATATTATAGAACCAGCTGCAGAAGAAGAAAAGAACAGAAATGACTTGACCAGTGCTTCAGCTGGCCGTGTTGTCATCATTAACTGAATGATACGCGTTCTAATACACTTCTGTATAAATTGGCCTTGCATAAAATCTAATAACACTGAAGATGTCTGTACTGGGATAATGCCAGCATGTAGGACCTTTCTATAACTGACAAATCCACCTTCTGAATGGAAATAATTTCAATGCTCTGTGCTCTAAAGGTTGTAAAAATGCAAAGCACTGGAGATCAGATTGGGCAACTAAATTACTTCCAGCTGCATGGAAGCTTGTTTATGAATTACCAGTATCGTTGTTGTTTTATTGTAGCACCTGGAAACCAGAGTCTCAGGCAAGGATACCCATTGTGCAAGGTACTGTAAAAGCACAGAACAGAATGACAATCTTTGTCCCCAAGAGTTTATAATCTAAAGTAAGAAACACAACAGTTAGATGCATACAGATGGGGAAGTACGAGGAAACCACGAGACATTACTGGTTAGTGAGACAGGCAACCGTCTCATCAGGAGACTAATAAATGCTGCTAAATTCTTTTGTAAGCATTCCAGCAAAGAATAGTTTTAAGACATCTCATTCTCACCTTGGGCTAAAGATTAGGATCTCATTTGCAAAGTAATGAATACTACAATGTTGAAGTAGCACTAGGAGTTCAGCCATACCAGAGTTTGTGTATTTAAGGTCTATCACTTGCATAACGATTTACATCCTAGAGTTTGTATAATGTGCACAAATAGCTCATGTTATACCCACATACACTAAGATTGGTTTTTAAAAATGGGGCCTTAGAAGGCTAATATCACACTTGAAAGCTTGAATTAGGGTTTTGCAGCCTACATTTAAGTGCCCCTATTAGTAGGACACTCCTAAGAGAGGCATTGGATGCTTAATTTTGGCAAGTCAGTCTTGTGCCATCAACTCTGTTAATTTCCATGGGAGTGGATAAAATATTTTGCACCTACCTGTTTTTCCCATGCAACTTGACTTCAACACCACTAGCAATCATCTGACAGCTGTCAAGTGATATTGATGGATGACCTGTGCTATCCATTGACATTACAAGCATTGCTGTAATAGACACTCCTGAGATGACCACTGTAGTTCTTCCACTGCCTTTGCTGCATAGACAAAGGGATAAAATCACTTGAAAGGTCTATTTTTAGGGATTGTTTATGAATCTGACACATCAAATGTTAAAGGGACTCTTTTTTTTCATTGAGGATTGGGAGAATGCAGACATGCCAGCATAAAACCATCATAGTAAGAAATGTAACAATCACTTTTTGCACCCTGAACAGCGGTGGCAGCAGTGGGTGGGCCAGGAGTAGATTCCACCAATCTTACACCTTCTCTACTGATCATAGCCTCCCTCTTCCCCAGTGTTTTCTGTGCTGTGCCTCCTGCAGACATGCCACAGAATCTCTCCCAGTGTAACTCTACTTTATTTACTGTACCCTTATTATCAGGGTGCCAGCCACTGTTTATAATCTTAAATGCTGATGTAAATAGTTGTCTGAAGATGCCAGTACACCGAAAGAACTTTGGTATAAGTGGACAGTTTGCTGTCTTCTGCAGGTGGGCTTTGCTCCTGGAGCTGCTCCTCAGCTAGTCCTCTCAGGTAAAACAGTCTTTGAACCAAATAAAATCAGCAAAACAATATATATATAAAACACCAAACTGCACAGGTATCAAACAAATGATTAAAATTGGCAAATTGTGTATTCATCTAAAGAAATAACCTTATTAAAGAAATGAATGTTAAATTCTCTCAAATGTTAAGTCCCAAAGTCCTAAAAAGCCTCTAACAGGTGTCTATCAGGTTAGGGAAAGGACTTCCCACCTAGGTTTTCAAATCAAGTTTTTAAAGAGAACTTATTATCTACATATGGGTTTTTCAGCAAGAACCATATTTCAAGGTTTAAGAGCAAAGATGCTGAGGTAGACTCAGATTTTTACCCTTTGGCTGGCTCGATATCAAAAAGCTTATTAAAAAGGCCAAAATGTTCCTAACAGGTTCTATTCCAGTTAATATTCATATGCCTATTTTATCCCCCATTTAAGATATATCTTGTCCTAAACCAGATGTAAATGGCATAAAACCACTAACTATACTCTGAGCAACCTTTAGCCCACTTCTTCTAACCTGTTGTTCTGACATTTCCTGCAGTCACTCTCACTTCTAACATTCTCTTGCTTGCTCATTTCCTTTGCCTCTTCTCTTATACTAACTTTGAGTATGTTATACCATGTTGCCAGTAGCAGCTTAGGGCTTACTGTAGTCTACAACAGGAAATGTCTTTCTCTTTGAGAAAGAAGGGCCTGTGCTCACAAGTGGCTGCTGTTAACTGGTATAGATCAGTTGTGCTCCCAGTTTGGGTTCCACAGGCCAGATGAATGGTGTGGGGCTAGACCAGGCCCTGTGCCATCCCTTGTACATGGGACTGGGCCCTGGGGCTCTGTGTTTCCCCCACCTGGCCCCCATGTGCCATGATTGGGGGCTCTGCATCACCTTTCCTCAGCCAGAATTGGGCTCCAGGGGCTCTGCACTGGCCCTGCCCAGCCCCCCTGTATCAGGATCAGGCCCCATGCCACCCTGCATGCCTGATCTAGCACACAGGACGATGGTCTGCAGGGCTCCCTACAGATCCTTGGGAAGCCCTGTGAGCTAGATGACATAGCACTGGGGAGCAGATCTGGCCTGTCGACTGGGGGTTGAACACCTCTGGTATAGAGCATCTGAACCGTGCATAAGTGAAATTAGTAAGTAGACCTCCTATTTTCTCTTTTAATTCTTTTTCTACCAGAAAGCACCTGAGATGCACAGTAGCATACTTACAACATCCAGCTCCTTATGTTCCAGTTGGCCTTGATGATTACATAAGCATTTTCAATGGTTAGTTTTATTCCAGTCCCAGGGATGAGGGATATAGCAGTATTGGGGAATTCAATGGTGTCAATTCTTATCCTACAAAATCAGAAATAAGAACATTCATTGGCATTCCAAGAGCCAATGAGAACATGAATCTGAGCTTGAGTCAAGGCTAAACTCTGTTGAGAAAATAACATCCTCAGAAAACAGGTTGAGCTTGACCTTTTGGAAGAAGGGGCCACCTGAGGCACTAGTCTGAACTCCATCCCTATTTGTCCTCCTGATAAGATGAATGTGCCACTTACAATCATCTTTCTGGTGCACAGATTTGCTGACATTGACATGAAATCTGCTTTTTATGACTATTCTTGCAATCTACTTAAAATTGGCTTTGCTGGAGAACATTGCTGCCAGGCCAGCATTCACTTCATTATTTCTGGAAGGCATACATGAACACTATATGACTATAATTAAAATACATCTATCTGAACATTTCTGAATTAATATAACTTTTTCAGTATTCAGCAGTCTTTACCCATTGACAATCACTTGAGCCATCCAATCCCTGCTTATATTTTTTTCTCTGGCCACAGGTTTAAAAAAGATGGAGTCCCATTGTACTATCTATCTACACACACACACGCACGCACGCACGCACCCCCCCGCTGGTATAACATTGCAAAGAGCTGTTTGTGCTTTTGTTTTACTTACCCTGAAAGATGGTAGTTGATCTCACTAAGCCCAAATTTCTCAGAGTCGTTCCAATCTGGGAAGCTTTCCTCTTTTATCCTTTCTTTCAGGATCTCCATCCCAATCTCCTTGCCTACAAGAGGACAGAGACCTCTGATTGACTTTAATATGGTTGGAAAGGTTACATGATATACATCAAGTTCAGAGGATTCAGCTCCCTTCCCTCTGTGTTTGACTGTAGTTCCTGATACACCATATCAATGCAACTCCTGCCCCAGACATCAAGCCCTCTCCTTCTTAAATTGAATTTCCTACATTCGTTTTCTCTTCAGCCTGTGATCAACTTGTTCTCTCACAGGGTGTTCTTCATACTTGGCATGCATTAAGAATTCAATATAATAAAATCTATTGCAAGGTATTGGAAGCTACAGGCTTACCAAAGTCCAGCCCTTTTTGTGTTATCCTTACTTTGAGCCCAGGGTTAGCATCAAGCTGCAGGGTGAACCAACTCAGCAAGAGGATAAAAGACCAAACCTTCATCATTTCCCCCGTTCTTTGGGGACCTGTTAACAACAGTTAAGATTAACCAACAAACACAGAAACACGGAAAAAGCATTATAATTTTCTAATGCTGTGAGCAGCAGGAACCCTACATCTGCAGCAATTCCCTGAGTTATATACTGGGTAAGAGTAACAATGTGGATCTGGGGACTTAGCTGTTATTTTTCACTACGGAGAAGAGCTTTGCTGTCATTGCACTGGGAAGTCACTGCTAGGAATGTACTGAGGCCAGTATCCATGGGAGAGGGCTCTACTGTTCCTATAAGTATCAACCTTTTGTAAGAAATGATGGCTTCAGTCCTTTCCTCCATCATTCCTTCTGGAACTGATGCTAGTGGCAGATAGATGTAGTGAAAGAGAAACCAAGGTAATGTCTTCCCCCTCTGTTCCTTAGACAGACAAGGTTCCTTGCCAGTGATATATAGCCAAGCCCTCAGATACCACCGCATCTGTACTGAAGAGATCACCCGGGATTGCCACCTCACCAATCTTAAAAAGGCTTTCACTCAGCAAGGACACTCCTCCAGAGAGGTAGATCGCACGTTTGAAAGAGCCACCTGGATACCACGTGAAGAACTGCTGCAGTACAGAAGAAAAACACCCACAAATCGCACACCGCTGGTTATGACCTATCACCCATCCCTTGAACCTGTACGGAAAATCCTCAAAAAATTGCAACCCATATTAGAAAAAGACCCTATTCTTAAAAAGATCTTCCCAGAGCCACCCATCCTAGCCTTCAGACAAGCACCGAACCTCGCCAACCTCATCACCAGAAGCAAACTTCCTCAACCCCAGAACACACCAAAAGGATCCAGACCGTGCCATGACAAGAAATGCAAAACCTGCCCCCACATCTCCACCACCCCCACTATTACTACACCCCACAACAGAGCCATCAGCATCCCAGGATCTTACAGCTGCACCTCCAGGAATGTAGTATACCTCATCCAATGCACCAAATGCCCTGATGGAAGATATGTAGGAGAGACCAGACAACAACTTCGCACCAGAATGAATGCACACCGGAAATCCATCAAAGACAGAAACACCCAATTACCGGTGGGGGCACATTTCTCACAGGAGGGCCACTCTCTCTCCAATCTCTGTCCTGATCCTCAAGGGAAATTTACACAACACATCCCAGAGACGAGCCTATGAGCTCCATTTCATCAACCTGCTGGATAGTAGAGATCAGGGACTAAACACAGACATTGGATTTTTGATGCATTATAATCTGCCTGGCAACTGACTCCCCAGCCCAGCCCAGCCCCTGGCTTGTTTACTTTTCATTCCATCCAGGAAGAGCACACACCAACTGCTGCAGCTTCCTGAGCCTGACGAAGGGTTTTTGAACCCGAAAGCTTGCTTAATAACTGTTCTCCAACCATTTGGGTTGGTCTAATAAAAGATATCAAATTCACCCAAGGAACCTTGTCTGCCTATATCCTTAGACCAACACGGCTACAACCTAAACCCTCTGTTCCTTGTAACTTGAACCGAAGTGGATGTGGAGCTTGAGGGAATGGATAGATCATTACTGAAGCACAGTCTCTCTGGAGTGATGAATGGCAGACCACCAATGCATAGATGACTGAACGTTAGTAAGTGGAGAAGGCATTTTGGGTTAAAGTTTCTCACAACCCCAGTTCCAGGGGAACCTTAGGACTAGAGTTCTTTGGATGCTTCAATAAGTGGTCTGATTTACAGAAGTGTTAATGCCTCCCTCCCTTCCCCCAGCTCCAGTTGTATTCAGGAGAAACTGCTGAAGTTTGAAAGCAAGTCTGACAATGAATCTGCTTATGTAATTGTCCAAAAAATGGACTTCAGAGCTTCACTTTAGGAGGATATTTCTGAAAATCTTGGCCACAATATTGCTAAATCCCTTTTTACTTTCCCATGATCCCTCCATGTTTTTAGTAAATTTAAATAATTTTTCATTACCAGCAAATATTGCTGCATTGCTTTCTTCTGGATGTTAATATATCTATTCAGTACCTCCCAAGTATTAATCTCTCAGAATCAAATGGTAATTTATTCTTCCATTTGTATTTTTACTCTTAAACAATATTTTATCCAGGATAGGACTTTATCTCTCATCCCATTGGTTTCCAAACTATTCCTACTAATACTTTGTAAGAAAAGTTATGAAAATCCTTGTGAAAGTTTAAACAAATCTCATTCACCAGGTTTTCATCTATTAGTTTGCTTAGATCATCAAAGAATGTTATCAAGCTGGAGAAACACCATTTATCTTTGCAAACTGGCTGGCTTGTATCTCTTACATAATACTTGAGATAAATTTATAAGATTTTTCCCCAGTCTGAAATTCCTGAGGTCACTTTTCCTAAAGCAGGCTGGCCAGGTCCCCTGGTAATCACATAATACTTATTAGCACAGTGTAGTTTTGGCAAGCCATTCAGTTGACCCATCAAATATTGTCAATTGGCCAGTCAATTGATAGCATATTTTTTGACTGGTCAAAGATAACAATTTTACAAAAACAAGCTACAAGTTTTCTTCACACAAATATAATTTTTGGCACATTTCTTAATGGAAAATTTGTGCTTATTTTGTGTATTATTTGGGCCTGCTGGCAATTTTTTACAGTTTTTGACTGATATTTGATGGTCAGTTGACCAAACTTTATTTGACAAGTCAAATACCCAAGCCTAGCACAACACTTCTGTAGTGTTTTTCATGTTCAAACCTATTACAAGCAAAAATGTACATATTAGCTGTTTTTATTGATAAACTGCATATTTTTGTTTGCCATTTGGATATTATAATTTTAGGTTTTTAGAGCTCTCCAGTGAATCTTATAATGGGGATTTATAGTCATTTACTATGTCCTTTCAGAAAACATTAATGGTACATTCTCTGCTTTGGACAGATTGGCCTTATAAAACAAATAGGGCTCAAGTTCTTTTTCAAGATGACTGTTTCATGGTGAAGTCTGGCTTCCATTAGTGGAGCATAAAAGCAAGGTATTTGTCATGATGTGGGCCTGATTCTGAACCAAATGAAGTGAATGGAAAGACTCCTATTGACCCCAATGGGCTTTGGATTAAGCCCTATAACAAAAGAACATTCATGTAGGAACATAAAAGACAAAGCGGATTTTAATAATACTCAGCAGAGAAGAGTCTGTGCTGGATGACATGGCATTCCCACCCCTATCCTGGCACAGAGCTCTGTAACAGCTGTGCACAGCTTACCACAGCATTGACTGACTGAAGCAAATTTCAGTTTTTGGACTTATGTGGTGGGTCTTAAATATGGAAAGGGGTACATGGTATGACTACTTGGAATAATTTAGGCTGGGTGTCAGGAGCTCTTGCTGACAGTTGGACCTAATAGCCTGTGCTGTATTCCTACAAAAAGAGGTAGAAACTCCTGCACTATGGATGTTTAACATCAGATCAGACAAAGCACCAGAAAATATACAGTAGGGAATAGTCCTGCAAGGAAACAGATGGCAGGAGCTGAGCCAGAGGTTTACAAACTCTGGTTCATGGTCTACTCCATGGACAACAGGCTGGTTGCACTGGGTTGCTGCTATGCTGCATTACATTAAATGCTTCTCCAATATTACTTTTCATGAAAGCAATTCTCTGTTACCCCAGGGATGCCATGCAGCTGTGAATGGGAAAGTTTTCACCTGAAAACTTTTTTGAGATGACATAAGTCCAGCTGAAGAATAAGATTGTGAACCCCTGATGCAATGTGTCTTTCCTGGTCTTAACTCCTATAATCCTTTGATTTTTAGAGTCTTCTCACTGGTTATCAGTCAGTCCAAAATGTAAAATTACTAGGGAATCACAATAGCATAAATTGAGCAAGACATAAAAAAAAAAAGTGTGTTGACTTCATAATCTTTTCCGCAGAACATTTTGCCTTTTCAGTGAAACTGTTTAAATTGTTATTAGCTTAACCAGCCTAAGACAATTGTTTCACACAGAAGCGTCTAAACTTAGAAAGACTCTTAAAATCTCCTTATCCATATAGTTTCACCCACTTTTATAATAATTTAAAATCCAAAACTTAAATACATGCCACATCATATCCAACCTCCCCCCAAAATAACACTAAAACTTAAGAACCACATTACACACACTGAATAAAGAATGTTTAACTCACTGTGCTCTGGAGTTCAGCAAAATCAGTATGACAGAGCTCACAGGCAATGTGTTCAGGACTAGGACTCCACACAGATATCCTCCCTCTTGCAACCAGGCCTTTCTCTTTTAAGTGGAATTGTTAGTTCGAAGACCACCACTGATTGCAGCTGCTGTGATATAGCAAAGGGAGTGGTCTCTTGTGTAAACAGGTCCCAAACCACTTAAGAGTTGTTTAGGTCAAGTCTAATACTTTACATTTCATTCATAAATTAATCAGAAGACCGTACAGTCTTGTAGGCACAGCCATTTGGATATGATAGTGATGGACATTGTATGAGAAGAAGCAGCGTTTTAATGATACTCCACTTCTCTACGAACTTTGCAAATGGTTTTGAGATACAGCCTTGTGGAGAGCATGTTGCAACAGTCTCTTGGGGATAAAGGCAGGGGTAAATGCACTAAGGTCTACATTTGGGGGAAAAAAAAAGCAATTTTGCCAAAAAGTGATAGAAAACAGCAATCCTGACCAATATGTCCTGGATTGGCTTGGGATACGACCCGACCCGACCCGACCCGACCCCCAAATTGTAAATAGGTGTACTGAGCAGTAGTTACATTCTTTCAGTCAAGGGAGCTGATCTAATTTCTTCTATTTCTTCCAGTAATTTTCCCAGTACCTGTTTTGTCAGGATTATGACTTAACCAGTTCCCTCCTGCCAACTTCCAGATTCCACGAGGCACAGACTAAGTCACCTCATTGCACAAATTGAGTTAGACAAGAGGGAACTGTAGGTTTCATCAGCTGACCAACAGACAGTTTAACTTAGAATAAGGATATAATACCCAAGTTGAATGTTGACCTCAGCAAGTCACATGCATAACTGCTTT